CTCTTTTAAGGGTTAACACAAAATTCGCAAACCTATTTTGATTTCCAGTGATTCTATTTTTAAATTGGGTATTTTCGCAAACCCAACTCGGTATTCTATGATACCCTTTTTCAGATTGGGTATTTTCACAAACCCATCTCGGTATCCTATGATACCCTTTTTCACATTGGGTATTTTCGGAAACCATTTAGGAAATGAAAAGGTATTTTTGCATACTCTTTCGGGTATCAATCCAGCTTTACTACTAATATGGGTTTTCGACAATACCTTTCCGATTTTCGAGAAACTTATTGGGTTTCCGAAAGCAAGAAAAAGGTATTCTAGAATACTTTTAGAGTGTTCAATTGAGTATTGTCGGAAACCCTTGAGTTTCCGAACGTTCGGAAACCCAATGGGTATTTTCAGAAACGCTTCCAAACTTCGGAAACCCACTCGGAAACGGAAAAGGGTTTCCGAGTAGGTTTCCGAACCCCTTTGGGTTTCCTAGGATACGGAAATTTTTTAGAGTGTAAGCAGATCGGCTGCGAATAATATTTATATATTTGATCAAATTCTATTTTATACTGGTATGACACTAAACTAAGATAACAAAGATATCCAGTCTCTAATCATATCACATGTCTGCTTTAAATAATTAGAACATAAAAATCTGCTCTGTCAGAAAACTCCATCGATACAGAGATACCAATATATATAGAATTAATTCCTGATCTGAAAAGTTTACAACTAAAAGTTTTTCTAAAAACACGAGCAGTCAACGATTGGAAACCAGCTATTGATTCCAAAGGAAGCCAAAAAAGTAGGTCAATGCTTTTGACGAAATAATTAAGTCATATTGAAAAAATCGTTAGAATACTGACGTGAAAAGTTTCGTTTTATTGTTTCGACTAGCACATTCCCACGCTAGTCACAGTGTCTCCAATATTAATGTTAAAAGAATAGTAATCAATTTTATTAATAGCCTAAAACTCAGATGTTTCTGAGTTATGGAACCAAAAGAAAAACGAATCATATATTGAATCAGATATTCTAAAACTGTCAACTGACATTATTTAAATAGAGAAATATTTTTCTTGAAAGAAGTTGAAATAGTCCCTGATACAAGCTAAGCATCTGTTCCAAACTTTTCTGCAAACCTTTGCATATGTTGAACAATTACATTGTAAAAAGTTTTATTGTTTTATTTTCTATTTTATGTTTTGAACGCAATGTTGTCTCAATAAACTGCAAATATTGTTACTTTAGAATACTAACTGCAAGAATTATGGAAACCAAAATCTTAAATGTTTTGCACATCTGGTAATTTACCGGTTCCCCGGTTCCTTAAAATATTTTTGGAACCGAACCAGAACCGTTTTTTTTCAAACTTGGGAACCGGAACCGGAACCGCGGTTCCGGTTCTCGGTTCGGTTCCCGGTTCTTTTTTGGAACCGCAGACCCCTAACCAATACAGGTTATAGGCTAATTATCCGTTTTCAGATAGCTGTTCATTTCAAAATATTTTCGTAAGTTCATAATAGGCATGATTTGCGTATACTCACGAAATTTATCAACAAAGTTTCTGACGATAGGCTTTGTCAGGGTCCACCTTGATTAATGAAAATTTAATTTAATGGTAAGTTTGACTAACCATAGATGCATTCATTGCAACATTGAAAAATAGAACTTGTGATCATGTCCGTCCGGTTACTCACTGTTTGACGATAGCTGATTCCAGTTAGATCTTTGTTCGGAAATCAGTAAATTCAGTCACAGAGTTTTACCGAAAATTCGTGTAAATAACCAAATTGCGCCAGAAACTAATCGATCGAATTTAGTTGCGGAGTAGCACGGAATTTAAAATCCATCCCACGCAGTCAGCTTGATCTGAGTCAAATTCACTTTTGAGTTATATTTTTTTTACAAAAGAGGACAATAATCATGAAGTATAAACTATAGGTTATTTATATGTTTTTAATATTCCTATGCAGATTTACCAGCTGATAGCGTCTCAGTTTATTGATATCATATCCATGTGACGTGAAAGAAAAAAGGAAAAGAAAGATAAAACAACATAAGAGAAGGAAATAGAAAAAAGTTTCTTTCTTGGTGGTCTAACCATCTCATTATAGAGAGTCGGTTTTTTTCTTTTTGCCTGCTTATGTCATAGTTATATGAAAGCAAAGTAAGCCAGATCATCCGTTCTGCTCAACGACGCGGTATAAAAGTAGACGATATTTTGTATAAGTACTATAGGGGAAATTCAAGGTTTCTAAAGATACGCATTTTGATTTTGTCAAAATATATTTTTGAATTTTTTATTTTAGCTGGTACGATGGCGAACGGACCGCTGATAGATCTTGTCGAGACCATGGCACACGAACTTGGTCATGCCTATGGCATGAAGGAATATGGCGGTGCTTATCGATTCGGCTGGTTAAT